AAGGGACTTCCGTACAAGACAGTGCCGGCACTTCTGCGAACAGCTTTGGTCGTTTTCCAGGGAGGATTACGTGCGTATTCGCGCCCTGCGGCGCTGTGTGGTTACGGAGGAGCGCATCCGTACCAATGCAAGGCTTCGATGGAAGCTGTCTAGGCTTCAAGCCCAAGAAGATGCCAGGGAAGCGCATGAGGCATGTTTGCCCGCGTCGTCCTACCAGAGTGGGACAGCCCTGGGTAGTCCCGGCCGGACGGGAATGGAGCATTCTCGGCGAACGCTTGTCATGGACTCGTGTGTAACAGACAATGCCAGACGGGTATTAGAACTGGGACCCGGTTTTGTACCGTCCACGGGCAAGTTAACCAGTCGTGAGAAATCAGAAGTGGTCACCTCCGTAGAACGGATGGCCTACACTTTGAGATGGCAGCAGGCACGGCCTCAGGGTGTGGACCAGCCAGAGGACGACCACGATACCGGTACCGAGTGTGATCGCAGGCTGTGGAAGCTAAAGAAGCATGGCTTCAAGCAACCGCCCAGAATGAGCCAGGATGGGGAAAGAAAGATGGCCAACTTCAAGGACGAAGTTTTGGCAGCATATGGCAAACAAAGACCTCCCAAGCATAATATGACGCAAGAGGAACGCGACGGACTGAGAGCACTTCGTCATGACCCCAGTGTAGTGATAAAGCAATCCGACAAGAGCAAGAAGCTAGTAGGTATGAAACAGGAACTCTACCCGGAGAAGGCAGAGGCACTTCTGTCTGACAGCACTATGTACAGAAAAGTGGATCTAACTATCACTGCGTATGAGAAAGAGGTTAAATCCATACTGGAAAAGTAATGCACGAATATGGATCCTGATCTTCTGACTGCAATACTCCCTCATGACACACGATTCCCGGAACTATACGGTCTTCCAAAGGACCACAAGCAAAATTTGCCCCTCCGACCTGTTGTCTCTGCTTGTGACAGTCCAGTCACAGGAATTTCGGTGGTTCTCGAACGCATATTGCATCAACTGCTTGCATTTGTCCCATCGCACCTCATCAACACCAAAGACGCGCTGGACAATATCCGCACCATATACCCTGGCCTTAAAGCACCTGCTGGAACGATTCTGGCTACGATGGATGTGGTGGGTTTGTATCCCAGCATACCGATCGAAGAGGGCGTGAATGCCGTTAGTGACGTGCTAGAGCAACACCATAACAGAGTTGATATGCTCGGGCTGAGCGTGACCCAAGTCAGGACACTACTGAAGTTTGTTCTGAGTCATAACTACTTCAGATTTGGCAGACAGATCTACCACCAGCTAGATGGGGTTGCTATGGGGAACAACCTGGCACCTCCATTTGCCATCCTGTTTATGCACACCATTGAGACACGACTTCTTCAGGACTCACCCTTCCAACCTATTCTGTTCAGACGATACATCGACGATATCATCATCCTATGGACACATGGTAGGCAGCGCCTTCTGGAGCTCATAGCAAGATTCAACGCCAGCCACGAACGTATCAAATTCACGCATGAATTAAGTTGTGACAGTGGCTGCATAGACTACATGGACGTAACGATCGCGGTTGGGCAAACCGGAGAGCTGTCATTCAAATTGTTCCAGAAGGCATGCAGTAGTGGCCTACTGGTGGATTATTCATCGGCAGTTCCTCACCACATCAAGTTAGCCGTCGCTCAATCTCAATTCCTAAGGGCACAGCGACTATCGTCTAACCCCATGATGCAAGCCGAGAGCGAACAAAAAATACACAAACAACTGCGCATAAATAACTACCCAGACAGTATCATATCGGAAGCAAGGGAAGCTGCCAGGAAACCTCGGCGCAGACGACGCGGTAATCCCCGCTCTGCCTTCCTTAAACTACCGTTCAAGTCCGATGAAGTACACCACCATGTGAACAAAGCAATACGGAAATACAAGTTGCCGGTACGTGTCGTATACGAGCACTCGGGCAGCCTCAGGCGTCAACTGTGCCGTTCGGCGCTGTTACCACCCAAGTGCGTAAACGAGCCCAACATTACTGAAAAAAGACGAAGAGGACGTCCACTAGGGCCTTGCATTACCTGTCAGTCTGGAGGCGAACGAGTATGTATGACAAAGAATGTAGTCTACGAATTGCAATGCAAATGGTGCCGGGAAACGTATGTAGGGGAGACGGAACGCTCCTTGGAAACAAGAATTCGGCAGCACAATGGCGAGGCACGCCGTCGCACTCTCGATAAGCCATGGGGTGACCACGTGCGCGACAAACATTCTGGCGAGAGTATAGCTGCTGCGGATAGTGTGTTCTCGGCTGTGTCAGTCCTGGCCAGGGCAGGCGACAGAGCAAGCAGAAAACTGCGAGAAGCTGTTGAAATCCGCAACTTGCGGCCGCAAGTAAACACTAATGCTGGCTGGGCACTACTGTGAATATATCGTATCTGGATATTAATATATCACCAATCCCTTTCGCCACCTTTGTAGCTGATACATTTGGCGCAAACACAGCACAGCACAGTATATTTGCTGCTCCTTTGTAGAGTGCACATCATTGCAAACCTGATGAGGGCTATATGCCGAAACGTTGTTTTAAGAACGATGCAGTGTAAATAGAAGGGAGCGAGTCCGCTCCATCTGTAATTCTAAAGATAAAAAGGAGCAAGAAACTACAAGTTACCCTATAATGTCCACTAACACCACCAGTTAGTGGACATTATAGCGTAACTTGTAGTTTCTTGCTCCTTTTTTCTTTACTATAAAATCATCCTTGGCTCTCCATCTGAATCCATTCTTTCATTCGCACTTGATTTTTTCAACCAAAATCAACACGGTCAGTCAGATGCATGCAAGCAAGCGATGGCAAATCGTGTGGCATTAATAGGTGAGGACTACGCCCGTGCTTACTTTCGTTCGTATCTGTGGCTGAATACAGCGGAGGGGCAGATGTCGGCCATGGTAGTTTGGCACTCCGCTGGCTGGTGCTCGACAGTGCCCCCTCTGGTGGTGTCGCCAGCAGTTTGGCTGTCTCCATGGTAACCTGTGAGTCGCGTGAGGTACCCCTGGGTAAAGATGATCACAAACAGGTGCAAGGTACTGTCAGACCTCGCTTATCCGGTCCTCTTTCATCCGGATCCCTCGCCATCCGGAAGAAAACTGCCTGTGGTGTTAACGAACATCCTAACGAGTTAGGGAATTTGAAAGAATCGTTTAAAACATTGGAAGTCGTTATGTGCAAAATGATATGTACATGTAAAGTCGGTTACTCGAATATTCGGTCCGAGAAAATCAAAGTACTTGAACTGGGGATCTCTGGCCAACTTTCGCCCCTATTTTTTTCAAATTGGGTGGAAGTGTAGGGCTCGCAGGCTACTGAGCGCCTCGGCCAGTAATAATACTACTGAGCGCCTCGGCCAGTAATAATAATAATAATAATAATAATTTAAAAATTCGACGAGGAGACAATAATTTTAATATGGCAATAAGTAGGACGAGCTGAAGCGACATGTGGACTACTTTATTAACAATGTAAGCGATGGAGACGATGCAAGAAACAACCTAAAGGGTAAGGAAAAATACATGTAAGAAGAAAAAGGGCAATGGAAAAAAAAGATGATTCGAACAAGTTTTCGTACAACACTCTTCAGGAATCACCGTTGTACTAAAGAACAAAATGAGAACAAAGGAAATAATATAGCAATCAAGGTAGGGTGACACGATACAATGACAGCACTAGAATATCGAGGTGCGATTTCTCACAAAAGTGTGCAGAAAACAAGGGTATACAAGTAAGAACTAAGCGTGACAAGTGTGTATCAGCAACAAAAAACAAAAACAAAAAAAGTGGCTGAGTGAGGGTGAGAGGGAGTGTGAGGGTGTGCGCGTGAGTCGAGATTGTGTGCGTCCGTCTCGTAATAACAAGTCTTCAGTATACAATCATTTGGTTTCTAGTACTGACTGTTGTCGTACTTATTCTGATTCCTGTTTTTCTGTTTTGTGCCGTGCTCGTCATGGTTATCTTTTGCAGTTACAAGTTTTGGAAGCTGTTTGTCAGCGCATTCATAAGCCGAATTTGTGTGTCCAGAAAGATAGTGTTATTACCCTAAAATTGTTCAAATAATGTTCTGTTGTGTAGTGTGGCAACGTTGTTGCCACTTGTGCCTAAATGTGTTTTGTCACCTTCTTGTTTATTATTGTTATTATTATCATTCGTTCTCACTTTTTTTGTTTTTGTTTTTTGTTGCTGATACACACTTGTCACGCTTAGTTCTTACTTGTATACCCTTGTTTTCTGCACACTTTTGTGAGAAATCGCACCTCGATATTCTAGTACTGTCATTGTATCGTGTCACCCTACCTTGATTGCTATATTATTTCCTTTGTTCTCATTTTGTTCTTTAGTACAACGGTGATTCCTGAAGAGTGTTGTACGAAAACTTGTTCGAATCATCTTTTTTTTCCATTGCCCTTTTTCTTCTTACATGTATTTTTCCTTACCCTTTAGGTTGTTTCTTGCATCGTCTCCATCGCTTACATTGTTAATAAAGTAGTCCACATGTCGCTTCAGCTCGTCCTACTTATTGCCATATTAAAATAATAATAATAATAATAATACAAAAAATGTATTATCTACGCATGTATCTACGCAAGAGTCACCACCAGCCAATTAGGACATGTGTCACAGTATTGAACGTTTTCGTTCCCTTCTTGTCAAAATACTACAGGGAATGATGGAAATAAGCTAAAAGACTACAACTATAAGGAAAAGAAGTTCAGAAATATATCACTCCAATTATGTGTAGAAGTGACACGAAGCGTAGATGCATGCGTAGATAATACATTTTTTGTAATATTTTCTGCCTCCGTCCTACTTTCAAATTATTAATCGTGGAGGCACACAATATACCGAGCCGCCGTGGCTCGGTAGTTGGATCCATCTATAATTTGTTACATTCCTAGTCGCACAGTCTAGTCCTCTATAAGTGCATATTGCTTTCGTCACAGTGGACTTTGTCTGCTTCTGCTGTGATGCTGAAACCTGATATTATTATTATTATTATTTTTCTTTCGGTTTCCCATGCATGTAGTGCCATCTCGCCGCTGCTTAGGTGCTGCTTCGTTCCGCCTGTGACCGTATAGCGCAACCAACTCGCTGTTGCCGAGTTGCGTCTCCGATTGCTGCTTCGGTTGTTTGATTTAGTAAAATTGGTTACGTACACCAGCTAATAACTTCATGCATGGTCTTTTTCCTTTGACCTTCCATGCAACACTTACCGACTTTTGTTGAGGGTTGGGCTCTGGTGCTCCAGTGGCACAGCGCCCTAGGCGAGAGCCCTTGCTGATGCCTATCACAACACCAGTAGCACTGCTGTTCTTTCTTTCTCCACGCCACTGCTTTAACTACTTCAAGCGACGTCTCCAAACCGAACATATCGGTCTTCTGAATGACGTCCTTTCTCTCCGGGGACGCCTTAACACAGCCATCTACCATGTGCGACTGCTTCGTGACTGCCTTCATTACTCTATCGCGCCTAAGTATCTCCAACAGCGAGTTCACAAATTAAAACTCTATGATTCCATCTCTATTGAAAAGGTCTTGCTACAAGATGACCATAACAAGGCCAAGGCCCACCTTCAAAGCATACGATCCAAGTTTGTGTCTTCCTACCAAAGAAGCCGAACACATCTCAATACATTCGACTTCATTAGGTTCTCTTGGCTATTATCCGAATGTGATTGTAGGCAGCGTTCTAGACTTGAAAAGAAACACACAGGCATTATTTTAGCTTTGAGGAAGGACCGGTTTGGAACCTGCAGTGACAATTATGAAACAATCATCAATCTCTCTGATATTACCTTAACCCAGCTTCAAAAGGATGTTTTGTGCGGTGGAATGGACTTCGGTATTCCCCCGAGGTTTAGGAAAACTGATATCCTGGCCGAGTTCGAACTACTTCAGCAACAGCTATCTAGCATCCCGGCAAAGTCGGATATGGCAGCGGGATCTTGTCGGGCTTCACTGGCCGCTGAAGCCTTTCGGTTCGCACAATCGCCTCCGGACACTCGATCATTCACGCTATCACGGGAACACATGAAAGTGATCAACGAGCTTCGAAAGAATCCAGAAATCGTTATCTCTCGACCGGACAAAGGCCGTGCCACAGTCATCTTGTCTGCGGATAATTACCGGGAGAAAATGTTGGTCATACTCAATGACATTAGTAAATTCAGCAGACTTGGGCCTTGCGATGTGTATGACCATACCGAAAACATTGATACCAAGCTGAGTAAGTACCTGCTTTTTCTTTCTAGAACGCATCAGATCACCAAGTATGAGTATGATCATCTAGCTCCCACAGGCTCGACAAGACCTAGGATGTATGGGCTCCCAAAAATTCATAAAAAACATATTCCATTACGCCCGATCTTAAGCATGTCTGGATCTCCGCAATACAAGGTTTCGAAGTGGTTATGCAATTTGCTGGAACCGGTTCTTGCCTTGTACAACACACATTGCGTTAAAGACACGTTTGAGTTTGTGGAAAAACTTAGAGATTCGAAATTTGAATCAAATGGTTACATGTGCTCCTATGACGTAGTGAGCTTGTTTACCAACGTTCCTTTACGAGAAACAATAGACATTTGCGCCATGGCGTTATACCATAACAGATCTATCACTCCCCCAGATTTGAATGAAACAGAGTTCGTGAAACTTATGTTCATGGTCACGTCTGGTGTGGAGTTTTCATTCGACAATATAATGTACAAACAGAATGATGGAGTCGCCATGGGATCGCCTTTGGGACCAGTCTTGGCGAACATATTTGTTGGCTTCTGCGAGTCGTCTATTGACCCTTCACTTTGGCCATCAATGTACTGTCGTTTTGTTGATGATGTGTATTGTCACGACGACGACAAGGAAACCTGTGATAGGTTTATGGAAACTCTCAACTCCTTACATCCAGCATTAAAATTCACATCAGATGGTGAAAACAATGGTACCCTTTCTTTCCTGGATGTTAGTATTTCTCGTAACATGGATACGCACAACATGGACACGACCATTTATAGAAAGCCCACTTTCACAGGCTTGTATATCCCATGGTCAAGTTTTACTCCAACTAAGTCCAAAACACACCTCGTCAAGGCCCTTGTCTACCGTGCACATAGGATATGTTCCCCTCATCTGCTGGACGAGGAACTAGAACGACTCTTAACCATAATGACAAAGAATGGCTATCCAAAGACACTTTTAATGAAACTCATCAACCAGAAACCGACCTTGGAAAAGACGATTACTTTTGGACCAGAGAGATGCCCTGTGGTACTACGTTTGCCATGGGTTGGTGCCGGTTCTTCGCGCGTCGAGAAGGAGGTGCGGAATATTGTTTGTTCCTCTTATCCGTGTGTCAAATTGTATGTCATCTTTGGGACGACCCGTGCGTTCAGCGTGAAGAAGGACGTTCTACCTACCCTAAGCAAAAGTAATTTAATCTATTTCTTTCAGTGCCGAAATTGTGAAAATCGGTACGTAGGTAGAACCTTTCAGCACCTGGGCGCACGGATTCGTCAACATGTACCGTTGAATCTTGTCCCTGTAGCTGCACGTGGTTCTCGACCTCGGCGTGGTCGTCCACCGAAGTGTCCAGTGCAGTCTATGTCTGAGGTGGACTTGTCCAAGTCCGCTGTGGATACGCTTGCCGACGCCTCCTCCTTTTCGTCGGGCGGAGGGCTGGAGCCAGCCCAAACAACAGTCAACAAGAAGAAGAGACCTATACGGAAACCACCGAAACTGACATCTGGACAATCGAGCCCCGGACGAGTCACCAGAAGTCAATTGAGGAGACGAATTGATGACGAATCAAAAGAACCAATACTGGAAGTGACAACAACGGTTAATGTGAAGAAACGAGGTAGACCACGGAAGCAGGACAGACTGGACGTGGAGCAGCACACTGATCTCGACCGAGGCAATCGGAATTGCAGGGACGCAGGGCGTAATGGGAGAGATTCGCAAGCGCCAATATCGGAGGTGACAACGGCCAAGTCGTCGGGTCAGGGAAACGTCACCTCGGCAATCAAGTGTCACCTGTCGGTCAGTGCTAGTTGTCGTGAGTGGTATTCCGATGATGTATTCTCTGTTTTGTCGCGTGGTAGGTCTTTGTTACATCTTGCCGTGTTGGAAGCTTTGTACATACGTAAGTTAGACCCTGAGCTTTGTGTTCAGAAGGAGAATGTGTTGTCTTTGCAGTTGTTTGGCACTGTTCGTCGTGAAGGTGCGAAATAGATCTCTTGATATTTCTCTCTTTTTCTTGTCACTACGTTTTTGTCACTTACTGGATTTGCATGCTGTTTTCTTGATTCATTATATATTTTTTTCGTGTCACTTCTACACATAATTGGAGTGATATATTTCTGAACTTCTTTTCCTTATAGTTGTAGTCTTTTAGCTTATTTCCATCATTCCCTGTAGTATTTTGACAAGAAGGGAACGAAAACGTTCAATACTGTGACACATGTCCTAATTGGCTGGTGGTGACTCTTGCGTAGATACATGCGTAGATAATACATTTTTTGTAATATTTTCTGCCTCCGTCCTACTTTCAAATAATAATAATAATAATAACTAAGACAGGAGAAGGACAAAATGTTACGAGTTATGACTAACTGTCCACCAATGTAACCAGATCATAATTATACAGTCAGCGAGTGCAACAAAATGGCACAAAACTCCTTGTCAGTTTTGTGCCGTTTTTGTCACACACGCTGACTGTCTATGATCTGGTTACGTTGGTGGATAGTTAGTCATTAGGGCGCGTTCAGACTACCGTGAATCCAGTAAAACCGTGAAAGGCGATAAACCGTGAAGGACATTCACACTACCGATAACCTAATGTTACCAGTACGTAAGTTTTGCAGCTCTCACCGCGGCGCTGAGAAGGGATTTTCCCTTTTTCGCAGCCTGAGCACTCTTTTTACTGCCGGAATGCAGTTACCGCCGCAGCAGCCGCGGTAGTAAAACATTTCCGCCGGTAACGTGCCAGTAACGTCACGTGATCAAATCACCTTGGAAACTTTCCCATTCCGTCACTTTTTATCGGTAGTCTGATTGCGCCGTAACTCGTAACAGTTTGTCCTTGTCCTCTTCTACCGTAATTAAATTGGCTCACCATCCGAGCCTTAACGTTATTGGGATGACCCAAAGGCTGACCGCCTATGGTGGTGTCCGTCGCATTGAAGGATGATGGTACAAGCATTGCCGGGAACACGGTAGTTGTAGATATCCTACTTCTTGCACACTCTGGCGTTGCTCACCACCTACACGCCACTGTATACCACTTTATTTTTATTTTTATTATTATTTTTTTACAAAGACCACTTAGAATGCCAAACATGAGATGCAGCTAGGGGAAGCACGCACAACCTGAATCGTGGCAGTGGTGGTGAGGTTCAGGGGACCTTGCTGGTGCCGGAACCGGTCCGCTCCGGTTGGTCTGGTCATCAGCAGACCAACGTGTTGGCTACCTACACAGTCATGCTTACTGCTGAGGAAGTCGCGTGCACTCACTATAATTATTACACAAACTGTATGAAAGGCTATGGGATGGCCGGACTATTCATAAACTGCTTCCGGCGGTCCTGAAAATCCCCTATATAACAACATAATGCCCTGTAAAACAAGCAATGTTCTTACTTCAGGACACTCAAACACCCACACACACCCACACCCACACACACATATAATTATTATAATACCGGTATATACACACGCACGCACGCACACGCACACTGCAACCATTCTTACCGGAGCACGACCGTCACGTCCGGCCACGTCCGACAAGAACCCGCTCCACTCTAGCGGCACTCTATCGGCACAACGTCCGCTTTGCCGTCATGACATAACCTCTGTGTTTGCTACCGAATGATTCGTCTTGCGAGGCGCGGAAGAGGACCCGCCTGGGCAGACCATGAGCGTGCAGCTAGCTGTCTTGCGAGAAACTCTGGTTTGGGACAACTCGACTCACTCACGAGCGGAGGAGCATGTCCTAATGACTGTTGACAGACTCAGTGTAGATCTACTACTTACTAGGCAGGCTAGGGTCTGCAGTACTGCACCGGGAGAGTAGCCAGGGCTAGGGTCTGCAGTACTGCACCGGGAGAGTAGCCAGTATGCATGACTGTCTGTACAACTACAAGTACCGTCGAACAAAGCCACGAAGCCTTCGAAGGGTTGGTGAACATGGTGGGCCAAAAATAAAAAAAGATGGGGTGTGGTATAGACCCGGGAGGCGACACGAGGCCTTCCGGGCCGACTATGATTGACTCGCGGCACTTTCTCCCACTTTTCCCTCAGATATCCCCCGGTACGTGCCCTGAGTTATAAACCAACTACTCCGCGTACTTATGCCATGGGAGTCTTTGGGAGTGCACTCCTTGGGGAACGGACTCGTGCAGGATCGATAGGATAAGAAGAATGAACTACTTTTCCAAGTAATTAGTTGCATTTGATGATCGTGATTGAGGCAGAGAGTGCTGCAGATCGCGATCCAGATCCGGGTCAAGAATCACCTCCTGATCCTAAGGAAACCTCAGCTGACGTAGATCTACGTTCTCTTCGCGTGAACGCTCAGTTTGTATTGCCTGGCTTGGGCCACAGGTATGGTTTGAATTCTAATTTTCTATGTTATTATATTTTTCAATTTGTCTTGAAACTTTCAACCTTGCTACTTAGCGGCTTCTGATCTGGTGCGCGTACTGCATAAAAAGTTGCGAATAATCATGAATTGGAAGAAATACTTGTGGGTTGATAGAGTGCAGTACTTGTTCAATGGTTTCTACAGAGCGTTCCGAATCCCAGCCGCTAAAGACCCACAAGGCAAGAAGCTTGCGTTGCAAAGCTGCTGTCCCGCCTGACTGCGGAGAAAGAAGACTCGTTTATGGTTGTTCTACAGCCGCTGCTGACGTCCATCAGCTCTGTCCTGCTCCCAGCTGCAGATAGGCCTGGATTTCAATGAGTCGTGTCCCAACTCCGGCGTGAACGATTTCCCGACGTCAAGACGAAGTGGGGTCAAGTCATGGGTGTTGCAAGGAAGCTGTCACAAGATGATCCGGTATTGAACGGTAGGTTTTGTAAAGCTGCTCTAACATTTGGATCCTATAAATTATAACATTAAATTATTATTTGTATTCACGAAGCCATGCCCAAGACGTGCGACATAGCGTGCGTTCGTGTGTATATGTGTGTGTGCGGGTGTATATTGTGTGCGTGTGTGCGTGCTTGTGTATGTCGTAAAATCCCGCCAGAGCACCCCTACCTCCGGAACCATTCGAGTAGATCCATTTGGGGAGGGGCGGATGGGCGAGTCCTGCTTGCCGCATTCAGTACTACATGAAAAAGTACTCACCCTAAGAAAACTGTGCGTGCGTCTCGTACACCCAACAAAAGTCAAGAGCTGGGAGTCGTACAAACCCATCAAAACCCTAGGGTGTGTGCGATCTCTGGTCAAGAGGGTGGGAACTGTTGCGTACATTTCCAACCAGGTCGTAGACGCGTCTGCAGTACAGTATGACCCCACACTTCATATAGTCATACGAGGATACAACTCTATTGATAGATAAGATAACGTGCTTGTAGATCTCTGCCATGCCAAAGTTGCATTCAGTAGAGGTAGTAGTCTCTGTTAAACGTGTTTGCCATTGGCTCACGGCACTTGTAGCAGCTGATCGGACGATGCAAATGGACTCCCAGTCCACATTAGCTGGTTCTTGATATGCCTTCGAAAATATACCATGGCACGCACTTTCCACTGTTGTTACATAGGGCCGGACGTGTGTTGTCCTGAGCTTGCCACGATACTTTCCGATCTGTCCATCTCCTCTCCTGTTAAGTTGAAATTATTTGAAGAGCTGATGGCTGGTAACTTGCTGGTCAGCTGGTAGGAATACGTTTGAAAGTGTTGCTGCTGATTTGTACATTGAATTGCCGGAGTGACGTGGCCTTGAGTAGTCTTCCCCAGCAATGAACTGAAGAGTAGCATGTGTATTGAATTCTCTTGTTGCCGGTTCATCGGCCCCTCTCCATGACACCGGACTAGACTGAATTACTGGCGTCCCTTCATCGGCCTGCTTTTCGCCTCGAACTTCACGAGTCTTGAAATCTGGACCCAACATAATAAAAGTGGGACTCAATTGCGCAGTTCAGACGATAAATTGATGCAATAAGGGGTCATCGCAAAAGTGATTAGTCATCCCTGAAAAAACATCATTCATTTCGTACTCGGACCTCCTCTCCACCCTCCGAAATGAATGGACGACGAAAATCGCATGCATGTACATGTGTATGCATAGCGTCAGTCGACTGAGATTTTAGCTCCCCCCCCCCCCCCCCCCTGGAATGATCTTCGTTTCAGGGACGACCAAACACTTGTGTGACCACTGACTTTCTTTCTCTGTTATCAAGCAGTATGCAACTTGTCTGTGTCATGTGGATGCATTGTCTTATTTCCTTTTTCAGGCTACAGCACAACTGAGAGAACGAAATGTACATCGCAATCAAGCTATGTCGTTGCCATCTTCTATGTGCCATGCGTTACCTGATGTGCCAGCCTGCTATGTCGGATACCGCTAACCATGCATCGACTAGGCGCCAGGCGCGAACTGATGGTGGTGGTGGTGGTGGTGGTAGTGAGAAGGAGAGCTCTGTGCCAGAATAACTTTGCAGTTTAGAGAGCGTGTCTGGGCAGGCGTGTATTTACCCCCATATTGCCAGGTGTGTATTTACCACCATATGAACCAACCATAAGTGCAGTTGCAGTGGAGTCTTCAACTTCATTCTCCCGAGTCAAGCTCCTTGTGAAGACATCTAAGAAGAAGATTGCCTGATGAGTCCAGCCGGGACGAAAGGTACGTCGCAATCAAGCTATGTTGTTGCTGTGTCATCTGCTATGCGCCATACGCTACCTGATGTACCAGCCTGCTATGTCGGACACCACTCACCCTGCATCGACTAGGCGCCAGACGCGAACTGATGATGGTGGTGGTGGCGGGAAGGAGAGCTCTGTGCCAGAATAACTTTTCAGTTTAGAGAGCGTGTGTAGGCAGGTGTGTATTTACCGCCGTATGAATCAACCACAGTACGATCAGCTGACGTTATAACTTATAAGGATGATCTCGTGCAGCGATATTATTGATATTTTTAAAGTCTTTTCTAAGGACTCTCCACTGCAGCGTTTTCTTTCCACTCGGTTCTCTTCTTTTCATCGCTCAGCTTGCACTTGCAATGCTTATACATACTGATCAATCCCGTTCAATTTTCCGTACATTTTTCTCAAAATCCATAGTGCGGACGAAGTAGTGATTTTCCGTACAAATATGGAAAATACGGATGGTTGATAGCACTGTGTTGATAGCACTGTGTTGAGGCAGCTATTGTTGACTTTATTTGGAATTAATTCTGTCGTATTTGCACACATTCCTGAGTGCAAGTATTACTATTAGCATCCAATGTGTGTTATCTGTGCGAGCTTCTAACCTTGTGAACATTCACCGAAGGTTCGGTTGGTGGCGCACAAGATCTTCCGGGATGGCTCTTGCGGGCTCTCAGCCCTGCGTTCTTGGCATAAAACTTGGCAGAACAGTTCAAGTTTCAATTTAGGCCATTTCCTCACTCTGTGACTCCCAATATTTCACATGTGCAATGATTATAAGTATTGTAGATCACTGGGACAGCGCCACTTTGTTAGCCGATGTTAGTCCTGAAGAAAAATTGACTTCATTGCCCTAAAGGTGAGAAGAAATTGGGACTATTTGTGAAGGAAAACTTTGGAAAATGTAATTTCGAATAAAAGTCATTTCGTTTATCTGGATAGGTCCAATATTTCACAAATGTGAAATATAAGTATTGTAGATCACTGGGACAGGGCAACTTGGTCTGTCGAAGTTAGTCACGAGGAAAAAATTACTTCATTGCCCTAAAGGTGAGAACAAATTGGGACTATTTGTGAAGGAAAACTTTGGAAAATGTAATTTCGAATATAAGTCATTTCGTTTATCTGGATAGGTCCAATATTTCACAAATGTGCAATATAAGTATTGTAGATCACTGGGACAGGGCAACTTGGTCGGTCGAAGTTAGTCACAAGGAAAAAAATTACTTCATTGCCCTAAAGGTGAGAAAATATTGAGGCAATTTGTAAAGAAAGGATTACCTCATCTTAGGTGGTCAAAGTGCCTCAGAGTTCGAGTGGCAGTGCAAAGCCAGTGAGTAAGCCAGTGAACAAGACCCTTTATTAGTGAACTCCTCAGCGATGGCCACAGATGGCTGTATTTCGGCGATGGAGATCGAAAGTCTGACCACAATTGTTCAGCGAAAGGACGAAGACGACGCTATGTACGGATTTCCCGGGCGCTATGACCTATGTACGGACTTGTCCCACACCGAGCAGGTCGTAATATTTTGAATCGGTGAGTCGATCATGGTTGTGCACAAGTGATGCGCGTGTCGCCTCCCGGGTCTATACGACTCCCTGCCACGAAGCCTTCGAAGGGTTGGTGAACATGGTGGGCCAAAAATAAAAAAAGATGGGGTGTGGTGAAACCTGCTAAACTCTTCACAATCGTCATCCACATGCTGTGCTGGGAAATCCACCGTTACTACTAGTACTACATACCTATGCACTAGTCTGTCCCTCCAGAAACTTGCGGAGACATTTCGGAAATATCGCGGAAAAAGTTGCGAGGTAAAATGCCACAAATTGCGGGGAATATTGCGGGATTATTGTGCTAAAATTGCGGAAATTGCGGCCGATTTTTGGTATTTGTACTGTAGTGGTGTACGATGTACGAGTCGTACAGCATAAATCATGCATGACAAAACAGAACGTGTGCTGCGCTGACTGTGTTCAACTGCCTGGACAGGAGCTTGCAAGACAGCTTTCCTCCATCCTCGGACAACACTCGACGCGAGCCTTATTTTGTGACTTGTCAGCCGCTGATTTTCCCAGAAACTTCTCCATTCTGGTGTCGATCTCACAAGTAAACTACTGATGAGCTTCAAGAACTAAACAACATCGAAGAAAGACTCGAATATCGCGGTTGCTTTTCGAAATAATTATCGCGGTGCTTTTCAAGTATCAAGGACAGTTTTCTACAAGAATCGCGGATGATTTTTCAAATATCGCGGATTTCACGGACTTTTGTTCGCGGAAAACAACGCGGCCGCGGAATCGCAAGTTCCTGGAGGCCCCGGAGGGACAGACTAGTAGTAGTAGTACCATGAGTACTGCAGATCTACATGACACGAAAAATACACGGAACAGCAAGGGAGCGCGCAGGTATGGTACTGTAGCGGACATGGAAATCCAGTCGATTGACCGGGGCCGGCGCCCTCAGCGCGTACAGAACGCTGCGTGCAGTGCACATGGTGATCCGATGCGACCATGTAATGACTGTATAATCGATTATGTACCAGCACGCTGCAGCGCATAAATGCATTTATCACTCCCTTAGCCTAGGCTGCGTTCGTTTTAGCTACCTGGTAGAGTAGAGTAGAGTCACTCTACCGATAGAGGTAGATGGTAGAGGCAAGTGTAAGAACGCTGTTCTACCAGATCTAGTAGTTTACACGATGTGTACGAGAAATGTTTCTTTTTTTTATGGAGTTGTGTACAAATCCTTGATCTTGCTGGAAATCCCGTAGCTCTACCAACTTCTACCGGATTCTACCAACTTTTTCCCGGTAGAGCCGGTAGAGGAAAGTAGAATCTACCCTTTTGAGTAGATTTTTTTCAAAAAACGAACACCTCTACCGTAAGAAGTAGTTTCTACCCAAACCTGTAGATCAAAAACGAACGCCCCCTAAGTACTATTGACTCACATAGATTTTTGCTACCATTGACTCACATAGATTTTTGCCATACCTAAGCAGTCAAATATTCCTGCATATTTCACTCCTCAGGGCTATATTCAACTACACGCACATGCACACGCACATGCACACACATGCACAAGCGCGCGCACCCACCCACACAGACTGTACTTGTACTTACTTGCTGCTCACTGCCAAAACTGGTCACGTCAGCCCCCCCCCCCCCCCACCGGAGAGGGGAGAGAGACGCAAAAGGAATCTTGGACAGATGACTCAATTGGTTATTGAACCGCCCAATGGCCGACACCCCTGAAACCCCCAAAACTCTGGGGGGATTTGAAAATGATCCCACTTATGGGCTCACCACACCTCAGTAAGTGGGTGAGGACAAGGTGCAGAAAAAGGATTGACGGCATCAGGGTATCCGTCCCGGGATCCAACTGCAGTTACCCCTGCCCCCAGTGAAGGTAATATTTGCTACCAGTGTGAGTGGCTAAATCAGAGTGGATCTGATAAAAGCTTCACTTATTTAAACAGGTATGTATACTTCACATAGAAAGTATATGAACCCTGAAACCAACAAAGGTGGCAGGTACAACATTACACCTTCAAGCAGCCGAGCCTGTTGGCAACAGACCCAACACAATCAGGCATAAGTGTGCCTACCAACCGAACTAGCTGGCACGCACGCACGCACACACACACGCACACACACACACATGTGCACGGACCAGAGGAAAATAACCGCCAACAACACCAAACTATACCGGATAGAACCTAAAGAAATGCAATGGAGAGGAAACGATTGTTTGCTTACAGAACTAGACACACATAATTATGACATATTGTACCAGAATGAGATGGTAGTTATTTACCAAACAATATTCTACTGGTGCAGCACCGGAACGAAAATGGTAATGCATCAGAACAACCTAGAAAGAAAGAGGAATGGAAAACAAAGAACCCTGCCAGCATAAACGGGGACAACAGAAGGACGTGCGGCAAAGCGAACAGGACACCAAATGAGCAGCTGCTCGGCTCCTTGGGCGATGACGTCCGTTCACGGGTCCGGACGCTGATGAGCACATCCTGTCGTCGTTGGCCACGGCACTACCGGCGGTTACATGCATGGCATGTTAGTGGTGGTGCATTCTCTGCGGCTTCTTATTCTGCACAGCGGCACAGCGGCACAGGCAAACAGGCACACAAACACACACCAAACCCCACTTGCAGGCCATGCACGGTTCTAGCCAGGTCAAAATAGTAGGGGGGGGGACAGCTACCCCGTAACTCGTTTTCCATTGTCCAAAGTTGTTTTGCCATGCCGAATGCAGCGTACGGCGGTGAACCCCCGACTTCACCCCTCACAAATGTGCCTTTATGAACCCTCTACAGTCCATTTCAAAACTATAGACGCGTACCTAGGCAAAAACCGTTATGCCAGCATCTATACCACATAAAATCTGTGATCACGTTGTGCATAATTTTTTCCAAGTTGGGCGTCTGTTATCCAATCGTTTAGAAACTATATGAGAGTAATTGTGGAGCGGACCTGAGCAATATTCCGAAAACTATTCTCAAAACATTCGAGCCAAATTTGAAATATTTAAAAAAAACACTGCGTGTCTATAGTTTTGAAATGGACTATAGTAGTGACTATGGACTGAATTCCCGTTGAATAGCATGGAAAACACAAAAAAATCAACAAATGAGTAGGGGTCACTTTTTCACAAGGGGGGGGGGGGGGGGGGCTCAGTCAGAGTAGCAAAGCAATGAAGTATAGGCTACATAGGCCCAACTTTCCAAAAGGCTTCCCGAGGAAGGGCCTGGACCCCTCGCATCTTCAGGGCCGCACCAATGTGGAACACCTTCCGACGCCCCTGCTAGTACTGTCAAGTACTGCGAGAGCGTTCCGTCTCGCGAGAACGCCCCACCTTCGTTTACAGCCAGGGAATTGAAAATCGCATGGCAGAGTGCAACGAAGTATGTACGGTGTGAGAACCTTAGTGTACTGAGGTCACACTTAGCAGGTTTTCGTGTGGAGCTCGTGTCCGCTCGAAGATGAATTGAGTACGGATTGACTCCACAACGTGCAACGTGTGTACAAGGTTCGTGTCGCGTGACCTACAGACAGGACACCACCATCACAATACGGCCACGAAAGGACGAGATGGTGGGACGCTCTGGCGGTACTTTACGGTACATGTTGTCTACGCAGTGAAGTGTGCTGCATCGGGGAGAGTGGTGCACACATCGCACGGCAGGTGGTTGTCAACTACGGTATGTCATGCATTGCAGAACACATCGAGACAAGACACGCGTCGTGTGGGATTAGAAAAGCGGGGACGAGCGCTGTTCACGCCGCTTTCGACGAGCCACAGTCAGCAATAGGTTGTTCATGGCAACGATACCATGCATTTGACCTGCAGCAGTAGCCATGAGCACACAGTTTAGTACCTGGTTACTGGAAACCACTATCTCATTTGCGGAGTGTAAGCCGCGCTGGAGTATAAGTCGCACCCAGGTTTTGTCTCACCAAATACAGACACCTACCATGGACTGTACCGTTCATTTGACCGTCATATCCCTTCACTGTGCATAGTTCGAAGCTCCCCCCTCCCCCCCCCCCCCACACACACACAATGGTTGCCTCTTTGCTTTGTCATACCACAACCATTCAACGCGGTGAACCGCTCGATAGGCGAATTGCCTTTGGGTCATCCTAATAAAGGTTATTATTATTATAGTATACTGTAATTTCAAAAATTTCCCGTGCTCAGTATTTTCGGTATGAAGACAAAAGGCCAGGTTAGGTCAACAGAAATTTTAGGTACAGAGAAGCAGTTCCCTATTGGATTATGTATGTTAGTGTTTGTTCGGTGTATTGAAATTTTAGGTATGAAACAGACGCACCGAAACACCGAACATTTGTGAAATTATAGTTCTGTAAGTCAACAAATATTCGGCGCATATTTATTTTCGGCTTTTTTTGGCCTGGTCATGTTTGGCCGCAAATTTGGTGCGGCCGAAATGGGTTTTAGCCCTGGGAGGGCGAAATTCGAATGAGCCGCAAATTTGTAGACTTAGAGTAAGCTGCATCGACTTAAATAAAAAATAAAATAAATTTCAGGGTTCGCGTGAGACTCGGCTGGATGCCGTGACACAGAAGCGCGATTTGAATAGAAGCATACGTGCAAGTACACGTACAGTGCACACTACATGCATGAACATGTGCACTGCATAGTGTACACTGATGATTCTGACGTAGAAGCATGTTTTGAACAGAAGCGTAACTTGAATAGAAGCATGGTTTGAACACCGGCTTATACTGTATGGCCGTAAGGACCTGCTTTTATACGCGACATTACGGTATGCAGAGACTCGGTTACAGACTTGGTCACATACACACACACACGCACGCGCGCGCGCGCACACACACACACGTGCATGTATGCACACAATGCTGGACTCACCTTGCAGAGCGGCAACAGCCTCACGGACGCCACCTCTTGGACGAGGGACTCGTAGTCGCCAAGGTAACCAATTGAATGGTCCGCTTTCTGGGACCAGACCTTGTAAGACTTAACTCCAAACATCTGGTTGGCAGACTTAACGAAATGCCGCAAGCAGTTTCCCTTGCTAAAGTCAGCTCTCTCAATAAGTTTGCCGCCACATTGTGTGTTGGCTTCGCTCCACTGAACTGTGTTGTTCATGGGGTGATGGCCAGCGTATGGTACGTAGAAAACTGTGTCGTCACATTCGCGGGCAATGGTGTTGAGCTGTGACCACTCGGCTGCATTCGGGTACGGACACACATGCACGCATGTATACACGCGGACAAGCACATACAATACGAACGTACACGCGCACATACTCGCACACGTACGTACGTACACACGCACATACGTACACACACCCTCACACAGACACACAAATACTGGTTGAGCAATTGAAGACATCGTACATCCATTTCCACAATCGATTCTAGGTGGTTAGTTTTTAAAATATATTTTCGTTTAGGGTGAGTGGAGGACGGTCATAACTTTTCTTGTCTTGCAAGATGGCTGCACGCTCCGTTCTTCGGCGCTCCGTTCTTCGGCGGTCCGTTCTTCGGCGCTCCGTTCTTCGGTGCTCGACAGTACTGTACTTGTAAATTGTAGTGCACTTGACCACCTTGATCTACCCCCCCCCCCCCACCCCACCTTGATCTACCCCCCCCCCACCCACCTTGATCTACCCCCCCCCCCCACCCACCTTGATCTACCCCCCCCCCCCACCCCACCTTGATCTACCCCCCCCCCCCCACCACCTTGATCTACCCCCCCCCCCCACCTTGATCTACCCCCCCCCCCCCACCTTGATCTACCCCCCCCCCACCCCACCTTGATC